TAGAGACATGGGAGCCAGCTCTTTTTACCCTTGGGATAGTGTACAGAGTCCTTGTGTGGGCCCCCAAATGCCCCTGGGGATCCGAGGTGGCTCTTGCAACCTGGTGCAGTGTATTGAGGCTCCATGTGGGACTCCCAGTAGCCCATGGGGGCCCCAGTCATATCTCTGCACCAGAATATCATAGAGACATGGGAGCCAGCTCTTTTTACCCTTGGGATAGTGTACAGAGTCCTTGTGTGGGCCCCCAAATGCCCCTGGGGATCCGAGGTGGCTCTTGCAACCTGGTGCAGTGTATTGAGGCTCCATGTGGGACTCCCAGTAGCCCATGGGGGCCCCAGTCATATCTCTGCACCAGAATATCATAGAGACATGGGAGCCAGCTCTTCTTCCAATGGATAATCTACAGAGATCCTATGTGGGCCCACAAATGCCACTGGGGACCCCAGTCATACCTCTGCATGGGAATCTCATAGAAACAAGAGGCGGGATCTTGCGCCCTGGTGCAGTGTATTGAGACCCCCGTAAGATCGCAGGCAGTCCTTACGGTCACAATCATATCACTGTACTAGAATGTCATAGAAACATGGGATCTAGCTAATTTTTTCTTGTGACAGTGCTTATAACTCAAACTAGCAGTGAGTTTTCACCGGGAAAGTATCACTCACATTTTGTTTAGAAAATGTACTTATCTAGTGATTTATTATCATTTTTATATGGCACAGAGGCATTATGCAGTTTATGACACAGCATTTTATAACACTGTTATTAGGTTTCCACACATACACATCAGTTGACAAACACCATAGTGCTACAGGGAATGAGACCTTGGGGAGGGAAAAAGAGAGAGGTAGTCTAAAAGAGGAATAGGCTTTATGACGCTCGCCATTGAAAAGAGAACAAAGTGATCCTGCCAACAAACATCCTTTGATGGAGCTGAACACAATTGGATTGAGTCAAATCTAATTCCACTGAACTAAAAGCAGGCAGAGAAAGCAAGCCAGAGAGAGATATGGATGGAGGGTGAAAGGAAGAGAGGACTGGGGAAGCGGATTAGAGTCTCCAGAGATGCGGCGGCCGTCTGAACAGGTGTTTGTCGAGGGAAAAAGAGAGAGACGCTGGAGTAAACTGAACTGCAGAGGTGGGTTCTCTGGAGGTGTGTAAGTATGCTGCACTGTTTGATGTGTGGAGAACTGAACTGATTTCGATGTGCAGTCCGGTGTGGATTGAGCAGGGGAGATATATCACACACATGCACACCCAGAGATGGGCTCTCTGATGTCTGTCGTTATTGACTTTTCACTTGTCTGAAAGCTGCCTGTTTTCCATTCAGGGACAGGCCACACACACATACACACACACACCCTTCATCCCTGCTATCCCTGATAGCGCCTGTCATTCAGAAGTCGTTCAGCAAGAGGAAGTTCCTGGGATGCCGCTGCCAGGAAATACAAGTGTCTGCTAAAGAGAGGAAATGGAAGATGCATCAAAAACTGAGGTAAAGGTGTTAGTATAGTGTCCAAGCATACTCACAATTTTGTCCATGAGCAGAACGACATAATATATTAATATATGCCAAAAAAAAAATCAGTGTCACATGAGCAAGAATGCTGATATTAAGAACAACAGCATAATTGCAAGTGTGATATTTCTTTTTATACAACAATACAGTAAACAACTGAATGAGTGACTTACATTTTTAGAGAAAATTCTCCCAGTTACTTGCCTATTTTTGCTTACAGAGTCAACCATTGTGTGTCTCTGAACAACAAAGAGTAGTGGCATTTTGGTAACACTTTACAATAAGGTTCCTTAATGTTAGTTAATGTATTAACTAGCATGAACAAACCATGAACAGTACATTTAAAATACAGTTGTTTATTGTTAGTTAATGTTAATTCACAGTGCATTAATTAATGTTAACAAGCACAACTTTTGAGTTTAATAATGCATTAGTAAATGTTGAAATTAACATTAACCAAGATTAATACATTCTGTAGAAGTATTGTGCATTCTTAGTTCACGTTAACTAAAGTAGTTAACTAATGTTAACTAATGAACCTTATTGTAAAGTGTTACCAGTGTTTAATTACTGAATGTATCAGTGTTTTTGAATGAATTGGATGAGTGAATGATTCAGTGACTCGCTCATAAGGACAAAGTCATTTGTGCTCTCCTACTGGCATGATGATCTGCAGAAAGTGTTATTAAAATATCCTAACCACAACATGCACTTACAATGAAACATGTTTCTGAAGAATTTATTACTCTGAGTTCATGTTAAAATTGACTAATTGAATAATATTTAAAGACACCCAATCGGCTACATATCTCAAAAACTGAACTATCATAGTGCTCACTAAAATAGAGATCTACAGACTATGCATAATAACAGAAATGTTGCTCACAGCAGGCGGTTTGAGGATAGACAGTAATTGTTTTGAAAGGTATTGTTGAAGGTGGTGGATTTGTTAGACAAGTAGTGTTTTTGCTGGCTAGAGTAGCAGACTTTAAAGGGAATTAATTCAGAGATGCAACTTTTCTGAGGCGGTTTTATCATGCGGGTAACTATTAGCATGCTAAATCACTGTATTCTGTTATCCTTTTCTGAGAAGCTGCATATCTTAATTTGTCCCCTTTTACTGCTAATTCTGCTAAAAATGTTAACGCTAAAAAGACTAGATTTTCCTGACTCATCCCCACCATGAGACGGTTTAAGGGGCCGTTAAAACAAGAATGCATTTTTGTGTTTTACTGTGCTGATTTTCAGTGTACTGATTTTTCATGCGCTAGATGGATGTGTTTGACTGCTATGCACACATCTTGCACATGAATGGCACTCAAGTTAACAAAAGTTGAACTTATTATTTTTTTATTCCACTGCCCTTCATTTCACATTTTTAAACTTAAAAACACATTCGGTGTTAATGGCCCCTAAGACTTGGAGTGGCATGGAGCGTGTGTTGGACCAGTTATGTTTAAACCTTTGAAACATCTACGGTGTGTTCAACAGTGAGAGAAGCATCATTTCCGCAAGTCTCTGTGGATGTGGAGTGAAGACATCATCCTGATGAAAGCCGACAGGAAGAGGTGAACGAGAAGAGAATACAGACTAATGAGAGAGAGAGAGCGAGCTGTAAAGGAGGTACCGTGAAAGGGCAGATCTCCACCTTTCGCCATTCTTGTTTTGTTCTGTCTGTTTGTCATAAAGATGAAAGAGATTAAACTTCAGACAGATATCAAAGCCTGTCAATACATACACGCATATCGCTGCAACTCTAATAAAGACATCACCTGTGAGACAAAAACTTCAAGAGAGTGTGTGAGTTACATCAGCCCTCCTAACATATGCTAATATGCTGATATACAGATGGGATGACGTGGAGAGGTCAGATCCAGTATCACGTCCGCATAAATTCAGAAGGCATGAGCTGTGACTGGATGAAGTTCAGGCTTGTTGTAAACAAGAACTTATTTTGACAGTGTAGCCTAAAAATGATTATAAATAATATAGCAACATGACAAAATATATGGATTCTCTTACAATAATTGTTCCACAAAAATTTAATTTTTCTCTACAGCTGTTTTTACTATTGTAGATTCATATTAAACTCATTTGGGATTCACAATCAGTTTCCAACTTCCACAGTCTATATGTGGAGTGGCAATTTAGTCCAATGTCAACATAGTAGTCAGAATTGTGAGATATAAACTTACAATTCGGACTTTTTTTCTCAGAATTGTGAGTTAAAAAGTCATAATTGTGAGATATAAACTCACAATTCTGAGAAATAAAGTCAGAATTGCGTGATATAAACTCGCATTTGCGAGACATAAAGTCGCAATTCTGAGAAAAAAAGTCTGAATTGTGAGTTTATATCTCGCAGTTCTGACTTTATTACTCAGAATTGTGAATTTATATCTCACAATTATAACTTTTTAACTCCCAATTGCGAAAAAGTCAGAATTGCGAGTCTGTATCACGCAATTATGAGAAAAAAAGTCAGAATTGTGAGATAAAGTGGCGGAAACGGGCTTCCATAGAGATGAGTATGTGTGCATTGGAAAACACTTGCAACTGCTTTTTCACTGAATTTGAGGCATAGCAAATATATTGTGTTGTCTGTTACATAGGGACTACTGAACAAACCTTTAGAAGCTTCTTTTAAAATGTAGAGTATTGGAAATATAAATGTGAAAATAAAATTCTGTAAAAATCTGCAATTTCATGGCACTCTGTTGTAAGTGTGTGCCATCGGGTACTCAAAAGATCAAGCCCATTTGAACACTTTGGCCACGTGGTCAAGGGAAAAGAAGTGTGGGTATTGGGACAGGCTTAATTCCTCCTCAAATAGTGCACTATATAAGGGGATCCAGTCTACGACTTAATTTACAAAAGGTTTGCATGTATGACAAAGCACAAACATAAAAACATGCACATAAAATGTCCAAACTGATCCGCTAGCTTCTAATGTGGGTTGCATCTCTCAGATGTGCAACACAACACATCTTGTCAGTTGTCAACGTACATGTAAAAATATTATGTATTTAAAAGACCTGCCCCCAACTTTTAGTTTTAACTTTAAGGGGGTTCAAACCTTTATTAACACCCCAGTCCCCAATAATTCACACCCTTCTCACAAATTATTAAACAGCTCTATGCTAGTTTTTAAAGGGTTCATAGGATGCTACATGCACTTTTACAAGTTGTTTGAACTGAAATGTGTGTTGGCAGTGTGTGTATATGACCCCTTTAAATCTGAATTACAGAGACTGACTGCTGATTTTCTCAAAATATCAAGTACAAATATTATTCATATTGGATGATCTGTTGTGAAGGGAAAAAATGGTGTATTAAGGGACAAACACACAACAAAATGATACAAAAATGATTATTTAGGGTGCAAACCCACTTTGCATTCATAGATTTTATTTTTTAAACTTCTTAAAAAAAAAGAATTTCTTAAAAACAAAAAAATTGAAATTCAAAGACACATTGCAGGTATAGGTGACTCGTTGAGCTGTTTTCATCAATTCACACGCCTCTTTTGCCTCCTGTTCATACATGTGCAGCAGCTACGGCCCTCGCAGACAACAACACCGACAACAACAACAAATTCGAACACGCAAGGAGCCAGTCCTATTCTGAGCAAATGCTTGCCACGAAACCATCAGCTGCAGATAAAATCATTCAGTCTTGCATATTTTGTTATAATTATTTTTTTCTGTAGATGGAACATTTTGTATTTGAGTCCAGGCGAACTGAACACTGCAGGTCTGTTTGGAGACATTCGGATGAGTTCAGCGGAGTGTTGGAGGGATTCGCCCCTCACAACCTCTCAATGTCTCTGTATTTCTTGCGTAGGATAGAGACCTGGTCTTTGAAGAGGACGGGGTCCAGACGCAACTGAGAGTGCAGGAGAGGCATGAAGCCAAACCAACGTGTGAAAGAGTTCATGCAGGACTGACGCTGTGCAAAGTGGTCTGGGTCGGCCCATCGAGACGCCTTAGAGCCCTGAGAGAGAAAGAGAGAGAGGGAGAGAGAGGTCTGTGTATGGTTCACCAGGCAGATTAAGAAAGAAAGCAGGAACATGTTGCTGGAATTGGGCAGCACTTTAGAAGACATTGACAAACAGAGTGAACACGGAGTGTTCATTTCACGACTCAGAGAACAGATGGCAGTTATGGCCTTACATTCATGAGAAACACTGTGGAAAGATGTCTAGCTCCTTGTTAAAGAAGCTTACAATGTGCTAATACAGACCCACATGCATTCAATCCTTTGGACATGCAGTGGAACACAGAATTTTAGAGAAATTGAGATATGACAGATCAAATTGGACCATTCTGATATTCTAATCAGCAAATAGCTATTTACCTTCAATGCAGTTAACAAAAAATATGTTCTAAGAACATTTTGCTAATGTTCCCATTAAGGTATGAAAAATATTTTGGAATGATCGCAGAACATAAAAAAAAAATAAAAATTTTTTTTTTTAAATGTTTGAAAAAAAAAAAAAATCTTGGTTGTAAATGTTAGAGAAAAACATTAAAGGAATGTTCAATTTTATCATTCTGCAGACATTATGGGAATGTTACTTTTGAATGTTCTCTGAACCATCTGAAACAAAAGTAGTAAGCAGTGTCGTTTGAAAAAAACAAACTTTAGACTAAACAAAATGATTCCGAAAAAAATCCATAAACAATAAATAATGTTTTGATAAGGCTATTAAAGACGAAAAAGTACTGAGAATGTTTCCTGTTAGCTGAGGACTTAATTAACTTTTATTTTTAGGTTCTAGTTCGTTTTAAGGAAATATTGTCAGACTCTGTTCCGTGTTTTGTGGTTGTTTTCCTCATGTGTCTTCCTTTCCCATGTTTAATTTGTCCCAGGTGTTTCCCATGATGTCTCATTGCTCCCAGGTGTGTCTCGTCATCCCCTCCTCCTGTGTGTATAAATAGTGTTCCCTGTGTGTGCTCCAGCGTCC